TCAAGGGGCTTGGGGGGATATTTTGGGGGAATAGGGACTCCAAGTGACCCTTTCCTGCATTTTTGTCTAAATCACTTGGTGGTGGCAGCAATACCATCCAAGGACAAGGAAAGGAATTTGTGCCTTGGGGAAGTTTTTAACCTAAGCTAGTAGAAATAAGCTTAGGGGGTCTTTCATGCGGGTCCCCACATCTGTACCCCAGAGTTCAGAGTGGAGAGGGAACCCTGACAATGTGTTTTTGCAGTTTCAGGACAACTGCACCTGTGTTCATCCTCCAGGGCCCACCAAGGGCACTTGATTTAGCCTTCCAGCTCCCAGCAGTCACCTCTCCTCTGGGTGGAGACTCATGTTTCACTCCCTCCTGGTCAGGGATTTTAAGGCTGCACAGCTCCTTGCTCGACACTGTGATATCCCCAGCAAGCCAGGCTGCCTAAACAGGCCAATGCCCGCACTTTGCTTTCACTCTGAAGGTGATGACCAGTGTATTGCCACAGCTGTAAGTTACCACCCAGCTCCTTTTAAGCAAGCACATCGATTCTTAAGATGAAAGCACTTTAGAGAAAACATTAAAACAAGAAAAGCACCTATACACATGCTAAAAGGCTTACCCCAGAGATCACCCCAACTCCATCCTATAACTCTGGTAGGTTTTAGTCCTTCAAACCCCACAACAAGGTTTTTCCCTTGGTTACAAGTTCATCCATCTTTGCTTCGGAACCAAGGCTGGGCAGATCAGCCATTTCTTCATACAGCTCGGGCCTCTGCTCTTGGCCTTCTGTAACAGGTAATCAGCAGACAATGGCCCTTTCTTGAGGGCATAGTGTCAAATGACTCGGTTTTTGCATTAACTTCTCCCTATGGATTTCCCGGGAAATCCACTTAACACTTATTGTCCCAAAAATCCATACTGGTCTGACACAGTCTCAGTATTATCTAGACAGTATAGTCTGTCCCATCTGCCCCCACAGAAGTTACATACAATCCCAGCCCACAATAATACATAAACTGAAGACAATAAGGTCTTTCAAGGAGATTGCAGGAAATGGTCTGATCTGTTACTCATGTTTGTTGACCTTAGCAACATGCTTTACTAAAACCCCTGCACCAACTAGTGATGTGGGGAGTGCATGTTCCACTTGCAGACCTGCACCTCAAAGATTGCATTTAGTTACCACAAGCCCCGTAAAAGGGCTCCAAAGCTGGGCCATTTGGCTAGCAAACAAATGCTGGGAGGGGCTCCTGTGCTAAGCTTGTTTAGAAAGAAAGCAGTTGTTCTTCATTAAGCAGATGAAAGCAACAGAAGTAAAGGAGAGGAAACTGGATATCTGAAACCACCTGCTTTATTTTAGGGGTAATTGAAATGTTTATGATGTGATCGATGCACAGATCAGATTCACACACAGGGTGGCTCAAGATCTAGCGCATCGTCTGTTTTGCTTCAGAAAACCCCACCGATCTGATTGCAGGTAATACCAGGCACTTTAAAATCTGTTCGTTTCCTTTTAGAAGCAAAACGAAGCAGCAGTTAGGCAGTGTAGGAGACAGATGCCCCAGTCGGTCGCTGTGTTTCTGTGACTATAGCCCACTGTCTTAGCCTGGGTGCACTTATCTCTTTTGTTCCTGGTTTGAACTATTCAGGGTTTCCCCCACTTGCTGGCACTGAGGGAAGTATCAGATCCAAATTTTAGTGGATTTAACCAAAACATCCTGGAGGATGGCAGTGATTTGGGGCTGAGCTCAGCAGCGGGGAGCTGGCAGCGTGGCTACTGTCCTCCTAAGTATCCCTTTGTGGAAAATAGTCGTTTGCAGGGAGTGCTGAGGTTATTCAGTTAGTTAAATAATCAGCATTTACACTTCAGCAGTCAATCAAAAGTGGCCCGACATGTTTCTCTTTTGTATGGTAGGTCATGCAGGTTTTCCCCTAATAGTCTCACATGGGCAGGCTGCACAGTCTTATTGAACAGAAAAAGAACAGAGAACCTTCTGTATTACTGCGCTCCGCTCTCCCTAACCTCAATGGAGACTTTGCCTTTGAGTTCAGCAGTAACAGGATGACACTAAGGACATGCCTGTATTGCGATAAAAGACCCGTGGCATGGCCACGGCTGACTCTGGTCAGCTGACTCAGGTCGCAGGGCTCGGGCTGAGTGACTGTAAAATTGCACTGTAGACGTTCAGGCTTGGGCCAGAGCCTGGGCTCTGAGACCTTCCCCCCTTGCGCGGTCTCAGAGCTCGGGCTCCAACCCAAGCCCAGACGTCTACCCTGCAATTCTGTAGCCCTGCAACCGGAGCCTTGCGAGCCCAAGTCACCTGAGCTGGGCTCTGAAACTCAGTACTGCAGGTTTTTTATCACAGTGTAGACATACCCTTAGAGATTGACTCCACCCCCATAGGTATCTAGTGACATTAATCTGAAGGGTGTGGGTCACAGCCCTGTCAGTGAAGGTAGGAAGTGTCTGGTCCTTGGCAACACAATGGGAGGTTGGAGTGTACATGTAATGCAGTGGGAGCTTCACAAGCCCATCCTGGAGCTGTCCAGTGCAGATTTATGTTTAATAAGTTTCACAAAGATTATGGTGTGCACAATTTTCTAGAGCAGTGAAAAGCACTTTGATGACTTCCTCAAATGACACAAAGGCAGTGGGGTGGTCAGTCAGTGGATGAACTTACTGAGGAATAGACAACAGGTGAGCAGCAAGACAGAGAGAGAACTCAACACCCCCTTGCTGCTATTCACACCTGGCAACAGAAGTGCCAGGGAATGTGGCAAGTGGTCTGACTGCACTGCAGACAGTGCTCGGGAGAGGATCCTTACTCCTGCAGAGTCCAGAACATCGTCTGATATAACACCCCATCCCCTAGTCTCAGGGTCATGTGAATATCCTTCCTTGGGATTCCGTGTAAGAAATGTTCCTCCTGGTCAGTGTTCCACACTAAGCATCTCTTCACTCCCCAGTATCAGTCTTCACTCCTCAGATGATTTGCAGTTGTTAGTTTTATTCCATGAGAAACTCCACTGGCACTGTACACCACATCTTTCTACAATGCAGTCCATGGCTGGATTCAGGGCCGGCTCCAGGCACCGGCCGGCTCCAGACACCAGCCTGGCAAGCAAGTGCTTGGGGCGGCAGCTCCGGAGAGGGGCGGCAGATCCAGCTATTCGGTAGCAATTCGATGGACGGTCCCTCACTCCCGCTCGGAGCGAAGGACCTCCCGCCGAGTTGCCGCCGCAGATCGCGAACGCTGTCTTTTTTTTTTTTTGGTCTGCTTGGGGCAACCAAAACCCTGGAGCCAGCCCTGGCTGGACTTCAAATTTAATATGGAGGTGTAGCCCGCAGAGACTGCCACTGTGATCCCATGTTCAGTGATCCCTTTAGCCGCGTTGTCTGTCGCATTCTGGACCTAGTTTCTCTCCTGGTCATACTGAAGATGCAGTATGACCCATTTAGGGTGACCAGACAGCAAGTGTGAACAATCGGGATGGGGGTGGGGGGGTAACAGGAGCCTATATAAGAAAAAGACCCAAAAATTAGGACTGTCTCTATAAAATCGGGACATCTGGTCACCCTAGACCCATTCCTGCAAATTGGGTGCATCCCCTAGGCTCCTGGTAAACTATCATCATAGACCTTGTTACTATGAAGTTTAGACACTTGTAGCTTTAAGTAGCATAACATTTGTTGCAGTCTGAAAGCCATGGAAACCCTGACTTGCTACCAGTCTGCATTTGTGAGTGAGTGGCAGGGTCTGAATGTTTCCCTCCACATTCTTTTTCCTGCAGTTACAGTCGGGTACCTGTATTTAAAATAGGAACTAACCAGGAAATAATCTGATTGGTGGGCGCTCATTTAAAACATATTATGAATTTCATTGAAAACGGGGGCTCAGGTAACATCCTGGACAACCTTTGCTCCATCTGTTTCTGGTACTGAAGAATGCACAGAATAGCCGTGAAGTTCTTGCCTGTGGCCATACTGAGTTCAGCTAAGGACTTGCTACTAGTCTGAACCCTCAGTCACTCTTTGCTCTTCCTTTATATGAGTTTAGATAAGATCCCTAACACTTACATTAGCGTAGATGCAATTTTGAAAAGTTTTCATGAAATGTCTTAGACAATCAGGTTCCTTGCTGGCTCAGAAGCCAGATCATCAGCTGATGTAATGTGGCACCACTGGGCTGAAGTCAGTGGAGCTCCTCTGATTTACATCAGCTGAGGATCTGGCCCTAGTTCTGTATTGAAAGTTGTTGCCATCTGTCTGCTTGGTGACCTGTGTGACATGAGCTTGGTGGTCTCTGTCCAGTTCTTGGGAGATAAGCACACACCTCACAAGACCCCCCCAGCACAAGGAGCATTCCTTGGTAGCCTTGTTGGTAGCCTCAGCAGAGACCAGGGGCCAAATGGGCATGGAGATAAAGTTATCATTCCCAGTGCAGGTGAACAGGAGATATGGCTTCTCTGGAAGAGGGTTGAGAGGAAGGCTGGTCCGGTGGTTAGGGTGCTAGCTTAGAACTCAGGAGACCTATGTGCTAGTCCCTCCACTGCCATAGATTTCCTGTGTGACCTCAGGCAAGTCAGTTAGTCTGTCTGGTCCTCATCTGTAAAATGGGGATAATGGTGCTTCCCTAGCTCACATGGGTGTTGTGGGGATAAATACATTAACGATTGAGAGGCCCTCAGATACTGTGGTTATGGGGACAAGATAAGTACCATAGGTAGATACATTGGTAGAGCAGGGTGATAGAAGGTTACCATATTGCTTCCCCTAACGTACCTGTTCTGTGGCTAAATGGAGGAATTGACTCTTCAGGTTTGCCATTGAGGTGCTTCGCAGACACATACACTTGTTATAAAATATAAACTAATTAAAATAAGCAAGCCCCAAGCACAGAATGGGACCTCCAAGAAGTCATGAAATCTCCAATCACACCTTTGTGGTTTGTCTGGCTTCTGAGATTGGCTGGAACATGGTAACAGTCCTGTGTCCCTTTCTATCCCACAGATTGATGAACTCCCTGAGGGAGCTGTGAAGCCTCCAGCAAATAAGTACCCTATCTTCTTTTTTGGGACTCATGAAACGTAAGTGAATGAACATGGTGGTTTCTTTTGAAATGTGTGGGCCTGAATCTCCTTTCACTCAAACTGTTCTTATTCCTGTGTCTCTCCATTGACATTAATGGAGTAAATCTTGATTGAAACCAGTGTAAGACTAGAAGTAGATACTATGGGCCTGAAACTGGCTCTAGTAGGGTAAAGGAGCCTTAACGTGGGTGTGATTGTGAATGCCACCCTACAGGGCCAGGGTGGTGCATCGGGGCCTGCATGTCAATGGGAATCAGGGCCCATGTTTCTTGCATGTACACATTTTGACATGATCTATGATAAAAGTACATTATACTTGAGCTAATCAAGATGAATGTATTATATTCAAACACCTTTTTGGGCTCAGTCCGATCCCATTGAAGCTGGTACCAAAACTCCCATTGACTTCACTGGGGTCAGAATTTGTCCCTTCAGCAATAAAGAGGGGTTTAGAAAGTGTTTTTTCTTAATTGAAATTTGAGTGGCTCCAATTTTTAGCTCAAGTTAATATTAATTTGGGGGGAGTAACTGACTCAAAGTCAGTGAAAGAGCAAGGATTTTCTCTTGACTATGGGCCAGATTTTCAAAGGTATTTAGGCACCTGGTGGGATTTTCAAAAGCCCGTCAGCACCTAAAACCCATTGAAATTAGTGGGACCTTAGACATCTAGATGCATTTGAAAATCCTATGAGGTACCTAAATACTTTTAATAATCTGGCCTCGTAAGCTTGTATTTCTGCATAAACATAGAACAGGACAGGGTGAGAAGATTGGTGGTGGGCAAATGGAAAAAGAGCTAAGCTGGATCAGGAATCTCACTCTATTTCCACTTAGTGCTTAAAATAAATATTCTTCTGTGTTGCGGGGTGGAGGAAGGTGGAACAGAAGGGATGGTGGAAGAACTGAGCTGGGTCGGGCCATGGAGGGGGGAAATGGGTGGGAGTAAAGAGTCACTAAATAGTTAATTACCACATCTTAGAATAAGAATAATATTAATTAGACATTGCTTACTGTTAACTCTGCAGTGGCTTAATTTTGGGCTAATGACCTCATTTGCCTCAGAGTTATTATTAGTCTGTGATCTGATTTTTACCTCAGGAACAGAAATGCATTCTGCAGTTATCTCCATATTTTATAAAGAATAACTAATAATAAACTGCAGAGTGCGTCTCGTTATCTCTGTTACGGCAGAGCAGTGAAAACTATCCTCCTCCACGAAGGACACTGCAAAGATCTCAAACCCAGGTTGGGATGATTTTTATTTTTTACCTTGTGTGTAAAAACTGAACTAAAATTTCCATATGTTATGGATGAGATAAATTCAGATGTGTCAGGGTGAGTTTCACATGATGCTCTGTAATTGTTTTCCCTATAGCTTTGGTGTGAGCCCTTGGCCATATGAAGAGACATCTCTCAGTAGCAGCAAAATTAGGGAATGCTTTCTTAGAGATAAAGGAAAGTTAACTTCTTGGAGTTCTTTGCTCTGATGTCACTTTTATCATCTGTATGTTGGGAGATCACTCGTTAGCTTTTAAGTAAATGTACATTCTCCACAGTAGTAGTAGTATTGTATAAGTGTGGATTTCTCAGAGACCACATCAGATCCAGGTGCCATTGTGCTAGATCAGTGGTGGGGAAACTTTTTGGCCCGAGGGCCACATCGGGGTTGCAAAACTGTATGGAGGGCCGGGTAGGGAAGGCTGTGCCTCCCCAGACAGCCTGGCCCCCACCCCCTCCCACTTCCAGTCCCCTGACTGCCCCCCTCAGAACCCCCGACCCATCCAACCCTCCCTGCTCCTAGTCCCCTGACCACACCCTCCCGGGACCCCCCAACCCTAACTGCCCCCCCCAGGACCCCA